TACTTGGAACACAAATGGAGCACTTGGAGCATGTTCCTGAGCGAATCGGCGGCAGATTTACTCGAATCGGACGCTAACTTCACCTACGTATCTTCAACAAATTTTATAAGAAACCGAACTAACAAGGATGATAATAGACGGAAGAGCTGCCTACGATCATACAAGCGTACATAAATGGTCTAAAAATTTAAATTAAAAGACGATCACTTCGATTGATTTCCTTTCTGTTTTCACTCAAGTATACGAGTTTATAATAATTAATTATTACATAAATCAAAACTTTTCTTGTCGGTGACCGTCAGTTGATAATTTTTATCTTTTCGAAATAATCTTCAATTAATTGTATGATACATAGTAAGAAAGTTTTCACCAAATTGGTTTATTTTAAATGCTATATCTTCGACTATCGAATCGTTTTTTTCTGATATATATATCAAAATAATTTTTGATGTAGCCTTGATTATCTATTGTATTTCTATCATATTTGCCATGCTGATCCCTAAAATATGTGCATCTTATTGTTTGTCATGATTACGTATTGACCATGAAAGGCTTTGCTTTTTTTTCTTTTTCTTCCAATAAAATGTTGTTGACATCTCAATATTGAAAAGTTACATCTACGCATTTCAATTATCAAAGGTTATAAGTATTAATCTATATTCTCTTAGCAGTGTATTACTTTATTGTTTCATTTACCGTTTTGTTAATCCATATTGTAGGCCGATTTTAAACGTACAATCACACGTCTCATAAATTCATAACATTTTTCACTGACGGAGCTTGGTAATCTGTAGACATATAGATACATATATAATGTACATTGTCATGACTTTTTTAATCAACGAAGATGATACAGAGGAGAGAGAGAGAGAAAAAAAATAAGACCTTCATCTCAAGATGAAAGCGTTTGGCAAAAAAATACTAATCACATATAAATGTTCGTGAAAGATTCAAATATTCGTTTAATTTCACAATTTCTCAATAAAATTAACAACAATAACAATAACAATGCAAGCTTTTGTGATGTTCTTCTTAGTGTTTGCGGCATTGATGACCAATCGTGTCCATTCATTACCCGCAATCAATTTTACAGATACTGAATTATCAAATCAAATGATTAAAACATTGAGCGAAGCTCTTTTAGCTCAAGGTGAACAACAGCAACAACAACCTATTCGAGCTGATCCTCGAGGTAAGATAGATAAATAATTTAAGAAACAAAAAATCTAAGATTTTTATTCAGGGTTTTACTATCCATATCCATATCAAAATGTTAACTGGTATAATTTTCCTTATTTATGGCCTGCTGTCGCTGGTGGTCTTCTTGATCCTACAGCACCACTTGCTGGTGTTGGTGCTCAACTAACTGGTTTAGGTACAAGTGGATGTCCAACTGGTTTTTGTCCAACTGGTGCTAGTTGCTCACAACTAGCTGGTCAATGGCAATGTGGATGTGGTGTGAATAGCTGTGTTGGAAGTAAGCGATTTGTTTATTTATTTATTTATTCATTTTTATTAGTCAATTGTAAATTACTAAATTTCGATAAGAGTTAAATTTCTTTTTCTCTCAATTTATGTCGCATGTTTTCATTATGTTCAGATAGATATTGTTGTGAAACTTCGGCAAATATTTGTCGAATTTATTCACGTGTTACATTTGGATGTTGACGATTTATATTGTCAATCATTCCATTAAGATCAAGATTTGTTTCTTCATTAGCAACCGTCGTAACTGATAATGATTCACGTGAAAGTTGATCCGCATCAGTTCCATCATTGAGTAATGGAGTTGGTGAAATTTGAAGGATAATTTCACGATAAATAGATAAAGGAAGAGCTTCTGTCAATGGATAAGGAAAAAGTGGTTCTTCAAATAAATGAAAATCGATCTAAGAAAAAAACAAAAATAATAAAAACTTTTTTTTTTCTTTTAATGTAAAAATTCTTTTTACGGCTCTATTTTCTTCAATTTTTTCAATTTGTTGAGGTTTTTCATCGAGTAATATTTCATATAAATGTCGATGTTGAAAAATTATTTGAATAATATAATCAATTACTTTTGGATATTGTTGAATATTAAATAAAATTGATTTTTTATTATCATTTCCACCCATTAAAATTGAACATGAATGAATAAATGCTTCATCTAATTTAATAGAATTTATTTTATTTGTTCGTTCAATTTGACATAAAAGACCTTGAATTAATGTTAAAATACAAATAATTTGTTTATGAGCATAAGTTGACCAATGTAATAAATCATTTAATATTGAAGTATATAAATCAATAAGAGATTCATCACGAAATGTTTCACGTTGAAATAGTTTTGAATTTGATTTAAAAATATGATCAAGAACAAATTGTTCGAGTTGAATTGGAAGTGGAAAATTTCCTTGATTATCATCAAATAATTGTTTTATTTGTTGAGTTGATATAAGAGAATGTGTAACGAAATCATTAATTGATTCAAATCGAAATAAATCATTATCCAAACTAGTGATAAACATGGTTTACTCTATGTTTGTATGTTGTTGGTCTGTCTATCAACAATTTTCTTTTCGTCCTTTCCTTCGTCGTCTACCACGGCAATCGATTAGAGGCCAATAACATTTAGATGTCACTGCATTTTTGTTCTTTATTTTAGTTCAAAATCCTTGCGGCATCAATGGTCGATATTATTTCCCTTACTATCCTGATGCATCTCGATTCATTCAATGCGATCAAACAGGTGTCTTTTGGATTCGTAAATGTGCACCGGGAACAATATTTGATCCTAAAATTGGTGTATGCAATTATCCACCTGTTGTTGTCGAAACTGGGAAAAAATAAAAATACAATAAACTTTCAATGCGAACACTTCTTTTTTTTGTTTTTTTTATAATTATAAATATAAAAAGTAGAGTCATAGTTTTGTATGGAAATCTCTTATTAATTAATTTATTCTATTCAAATAAAACACAATGAATTCATCTTTTTCTAACTATTGTTACGCATACTTACAATATCATACTCAAGCACACCAGTTTCTATTTGTTCTATTTTGTGTCGTTACTTTTAAAGATATAAATCAATAAAACAGTAATTAATGTTCAGGTCATCATATACCTAATTCATCAACTAGAGTTGATCTTACTTGATTTGACATTTACCTTATTAGTATCCGTCTTCTATACAAATCAAATCTTTGATCAGTTCCAAAAAAACCAAAATTTGGACTATACATTTCATTCTCACATTTGGTTTGAGACGATGAGAAAAGAAAAAGAATCACTTTTCAGTTTTCTTTTTTCAATTCAATCAACGAAAGAAAAACAGTAGATGATATGTCACATTCAAAAAGGGGAAGAAATGTGTTTTGAGCACCAAGAAATAGGTGAAATGAGCACCAAACTGATTAAATGTGAAAAGAGCACCAAAATATAAGAGAAATGAGCACCAATTAAACAGAGCATAAAAAATATATCGATTCAACCGTAAGAGAATGAAGATTGCGGCTCATATATAGGTTGCCATCGATTTGTGATAAGCTCAATTCGTAATTGTTAATCCAATGTCAATCGATAAATAATCTAATTAACATAGTAGCGAACAATTTTGTATATAAAGAGTCTCAAAAAAGTGTAAACTAACATAACAAAACATGCAAATGGATCAATATAAAATTTTAAACATTGTGAAAACGCTTGAAGAAACTAATTGTATTCTGGAAAACCACAGTGTCTCAAAGTATAGAACGTCGAATTTATCGAACTCTATCAAGTATTCTTATCGATGCAGGAACTATCGGAAATATCCACTATGCAAATTCGAAATACAAATTGTTATTGAAGATACTCATCCAACAGAAATTAAATTAATGTATAAAAATACACACGATCATGAGCAACGTCGCACAACAACTCGTGCACCATCACCTGTACGTGAGTTGGTCTCAAAATATGTTAATTGTAATCTCACAGAAACTCAAATTAAAAATTTATTGGTAGTGGATTATCCATCAACTTCAATACCAACAAATCAATTATCAAATTTAATTAATTATACTCGTCGAAAAAATAATCCCACTATATTTTCGGTTTACGACTTTAATCAATGGTGTATTAATCACTCATATGATGAAAATTCATTACATTCAACGTTCATACCTTACTATTATATCAATGATATTAATGACTTTTTCGTTTTATTTACGACAAAACAATTATTAAAAGACGCACAATGCTCAACTCTATCAAAAGTCGATGCAACATACAAACTCACGTGGAATGAACTCCCGTTATTAGTTTTCGGTTCATCAGATGCTGATCGTCATTTTCGACCTTTCGGAGTGGCTTTAATATCAAGTGATGAAAATTCAACATGTTACATTGATTTATTTAAACAATTAAAACTCATCTCAACTCAAGAAAATCAACGTGAGTATGTTGTAAATTATGTAATGGCAGATGGTGCACCAGGTACGACATACTTCTATTTTTCGTTTTTTTCAAGCTTGAATGTTCTATATTCAGGAATTACAAGTGCTCAAAAGGAAGTTTTTCCTCAAGCACGACGTCTTATGTGTTGGGCGCATGTTGCTCGTAAATGCCGAGAACATAGAAAACTAATGCCAACAGAGAAATGGAAACAAATTGATATTGATATACATAATTTACAATTATGTTTTTCAGATAATATTTTTAGTCATGGTACAAATCTGCTAATGAAAAAAAGGTCAACTGATCCACTTATTCAGCAATTTCAATCATACTTTTTCAATCAATGGATTGAAACATTACCTCTATGGTAAGAAAACTTCTGATGTTGAGTTTCTAATATCTTATGATAAAATATTTTGTACTTACAGGTATGAAGGTGCTGCTATCAATATGCCATTAACAAATAATGGGTGTGGGTGTGGGTGTGGGTGTGGGTGGGTGTGGG